CGTTTCCTCCTCCATGAAATAAGAAAGGGGCAGGCCGGACGAGTTATACGAATTTGCTTGCTCCATAGCTTCAGCAACCCGCGCGTATTTGAATTTGCCTCCACGTCGTAATTCACGTCGCGTGTTATAGATGTACGCGAGATATCTCGTCCAAAAGTTCACATTGGTCACCATCAGATCATTTTATAAAGCCGTAACGCCGTTGGCGCTCACTTTCGAACCGCGACAACGGCCCTTCTGTGATAGTCGTGGGCTAATCTACCCTTGGGACGTGGCTCGCTAGGACAGAAAGCGACGTTTCCGCTTTTCGCAGCGCGAACACTTTTCGCTGTGGAACCCTAGGTCCACTCTTGATCAGAGTGGACCTGGGGCTCTCGCACAAAAAAAGTTTTGCGCTGCGAAAAGCGAAAATGTCGCGTTCTGACCTACCAATGCTTCCCGTTCCAACCACACTCCGATGCATGGTACCCACTCCCTATACTTTCTGTGTTGTTGATCTGACCCTTTTTTCAGGAAAAACTATTACTGGTGATGATGATCTCTCTCTACTAGATATGAATTTCAAAGATAATGACAAAATATTGATTATGGGTAAGGTATCGTCGTCGTTAAAGGTTAGTCAGTCAGCCTTAGTTCAGAATTCATGCCGTGGTAATCTTTTCTGATCTAATTCTGTAGTCTTTAATACTGACGTTGTATACCCATTTCATACGTCCTGCTACAGGCGTTACTCGCTTTCGAGTAACCGAGACCATACTGCTTTCGAATTGAGAAGTGAGCATTTCCAGGACGATCCGGGCTTCTCGGCCTCTTGTGGCTTACGAAGAAAGCGAATTTGGTGGGACTTCAAAAGCAGCACGAGCAAATAGAAAGCGATCTCAGTGCGATGGAGTTAAATTTTCTTGACGGTAATACATTATGCTACTTGAACGTTTAAGGAAGAGATTGTGTGGTGGAATACATATCTTCACACGAGGTATCATTGTGGTTTTCGCGATTGTTCAAAAACACATCCCTGTGCGCGCTAAAGGCGGTGGTCACGGTAGCGGCAGTGCGGTTTGGGACGTCACTGAACGTCATCGATGGACTGGATCCCTCAGTGCACTGGGGGAGTGGTGTGGCTGGGACCGCCTCATAATGTTCGTCCAAAACTACAACCTCTTCGGCCACCGTATCCACTGCCTTAAGCAAGGATTGGGTTCATCGAGCGAAAACCGCAGATCGTGTTATAACTCCGTTTCCTAAACCCTCTAGTATTATAAGTTCAAATTTTCGCGACCATGTAGCTGCTCACTTTGCCCCCTGTTACACTTATTCTTACTTGTGAGGAAAGTTATTGAAATTCCTGTTTACCTTGTGTGAGGAAAGTTATTGAAATTCCTGTTTACCTTGGTGGGGTGCCATTTCATTCTACAGATGCTTGCATGTCTAATATTCTAAGTCTTATTGGACCTGAGGTAGATAGCCGTAATTTTTTTCAAACTTGAAGTTTGACTCACCCTATTGTTCTGAAAAACTCGCTGATACAAGTCGTTTACCCGTACTTCCTTATCGGGTCGAACGGTTCCTCTTGAATTCTCTACATTGGCATACTTTTATATAAACCAGACTTTGTATTAAACAATAATTCCTCAAGCAATTATTTGTCATGGAGTTGCATATACTTTATCACGCTTCCACTCTGTTTAAGTGCAGAAATCATTGGAAATGGTCAAGAGAATGGAAAAGAGATTGGCACACTTCACCGAAACATCGATGAAGCACCTGGAGGCATTGGATGGTTTAAGCATCATTGGAGAGCTAACGAGCGAGGCACAGGTAATTCCGAAAAAAAACTTCATTTTGTTTCTGCATATCTCAGAAGTAATAGCTTGCAAAGAACTTACACTCTCCCCTTACAAAACTTAGTCTTAGGGCTCTCACCTTTCTCCTTGGGATTTGAAGCCGAGCCAGGCGCCGTTCTCTAATCGTCTGTGCTCTAGCCATTCGTGGCAGGACCACTGAGGAAAGTTCAAGTAGTCCGTAAACCGTTCAGCAGAGTGAGCGTCAGCGTTGAAGAGGCAGCACCGATGAGAATGGCGCCACTGCTGAAATCGACGAGCAAGGAAGGGGGCTCACCTCGGGTCTTATGGTTAGACCCTTTCCCAAGGTTTTTCATTCGTCCCTGCACTACTGACCACCTCTACCTTAGTCCCCAATGGGCCGCCTTTTCATCATGAATTCCGCGTTCAAATGGACGTTTATTCGATCGGAGAAAATTCCCATAGCGTGCACTGTCATCGTAATTATAATGCTTTCAATTTGTAGGCAGTACGAAACCGTGAGAAAAGGAAGAGCTTAATTGATGGAATCAACACGCTGCTAAATGGAAATGACAAGCATGTTCGACGATTAGAAGAGTACAAAAAGAAGCTCCTTGGGGAAATTATTGAATGAATCGTTTGACTTGTATGCCCTAGTCCTTCATGTGTGGAAGAACATGTAATAAATTTCTACTGTGTCATTTTTCATCGCTACATCAACACAGTGTTCTCTTCTGGAGCGCTCCAATTTACCAGGGGAAAAGAAACACTGCGCATGGTAGTGAAATGCCGTCAGGCTCGTTCCCATTTTGCTTTCAGGAAATCCGTAGAAGAATGATATTTTCTGTTGAGGTCTCGGCGAATTTCACTCACACACAGCTTTGGCCAAGAAAGTCGCAAATACTAAGCTCAGATGTCCGTCAGACTCGGCGATTGTGCCGAGTTTGACGGACTGAATCCAAAGTTGTTTCAAAACTATGGAGGATAGGATTGTTGGCCATGTTCGATCCTCGATAAACCTCGGCATAATTACAGTACCAATTTATTTGACTCAACAGCACACGAGGTTGATAATGATTCCGTTGGCTAACGTTTCGGCGATTTCGCCTTCTTCGGGTCAGGTACGTCGTGAATTGGTTTCAACCTATTTAGGCTCCGAAGAAATTGCCGAACTGTTAACAAACGGAATCCATCAATCTCGTGTGCTGCTGGGTCAGATGAATTGGTAGGAATTGTAAGGTTTATGGCCTGAAACGTCCAATTCGGGGAAATTTCAAACTAATAGGTCTACCGTATTCGAAGAGAGCGTAATTTCCGATGAGTGCAAGTATTGCAACTAGTGGAGTACCGCAGCTGTCATGCCTGTGCCAGCAGCTAAAGCGCTGAATCGTGCCACCCTGAAAATCACTACGTCGCTGCATTTGATAAGAAAACGGTGACCCTTTACGCGAGTTGGCGCCACAAAGAACCGACGCCAAGGTTCCGCACATTGAGGTATAGTACTGGGCAGCGAGGTGGCCGAAGCATTTTTTCTGGGCCCATTCAGCCTGTTGTATCCTTTCATTGCAGGTATGCTCAATCCAGCTTAACACTGTTGTCCACTAAATTTTGAGATCTGTCGTTGAGGGATCAAACAAGCTTTTGCCTGTAGATTCACCCATTTCAGAGGGCGTCTTGACCAGAGGAAGTGAGTCGCCTTACCCTCACCGGACAGTTGCTCAGTATTGTCCGCATCTTCTGGTTTCTGGATGCCCCTGAGAGCAAAACACGTTTCTCTCAGCGATCCCTGCCATC